CAATGCTCCCTTTAAGGAGGCGCCACCTTGGGAAGTTGAGCCAAGAAAACAGCAGCTTGAAGCACGGAAACAGCAGCAGAAACTGGACAGACAGAAGGAGCAGGAAAAGAAAACATGAAATGAATCTCACTGTTGAGCCATCCAATGGCGATCCTGTGGAGGAGGAATCTACGAGGCACAGCAAAGCAAGGCAAGCTGACCCAGTGAAACTCGAAGAGGTTCCATGGCCAGTAGCTTACATTAACATGGCGCTCCGGGCCTCAGATGTGCGAGGTGCCAAATCCTCTTGGTTGCAGGTGTTCTCAGGTAGAAGGAGCTACTGTCCAGGGTGGACAGGAAAAGCTGGTACCTGAGTTAAATAAATCAGGTCTGATACCCAGGGAGAATTTGGAAAACGGGCTAAATTATTTGGAGAAAGAATGGTCACTGTGGTTTTCAGAGCCTCAACCAATTTGAGGGGCAAAGGAAAACAAATGAAGGTAATGCAGCACGCTGCCCCATTCAGAAGTGTAGTCTGCTTTGGCAAGGAAGGCCTCCTGAAGTGTCTTCACAGACTGGAGACTGTGGCAAAGCCATGTGCGTTAGAGGAATGGGGCGTCCCAAACGTGGGTAGAAGTAGTGTTATTAAAAGCTTAAACCAAGAACAGATACGTGGTGCTGGTGTGTCCATGGCTGTCCCTTTGGACAAGCTGATCACAATCACAGATAGTCCCAGGTTCCTGTATCTTCCCTGAACTGGGCCAGTGCACTCGTGATGACAAATCCAGGAAGTCTTCAGGTATTAAAACCAGGGAGGCTGCTAGTGCCAGCCTAGCTCGAGGCTGATCCTTGACAAGCAATGTTGAAATACACCGTCCCCGACTCCACGGGTCTTTGTGTCGCTGAGTTTTCACTTTGTTGGCTCCGAGAAGAGGCTTGCACCCAAAGGGTGGAAAGTGCCCACAGGTGGAAAGTGCTGGCAAACTGCTGTGGTGTGCGTGGATCGGTGCCTTAGGCTACATTGCCACCCCCAACGTCCTGCACTTGATCTCTGCGCTTGACTGAGAGTCCAGGGGCAGATCTGAAATCAGGCTCTGACATGGACGAATTGCCCCAGCACAGTACACACAGCCATCACAGGATCTCACTCGGCGAGTAGCATTGTGTTCCATTCTTGGGGTCTGACAAAGGGAATCAAAGCAGAAAAGGATTTGACTGAGGAGGTGCCAACACAGAAGGCGAGGGAGCAAGAGGAGCACCTTGACTGGGGCCAAGCAGCTGAAGACAAGAGATCAGCCCTGTCTCCTGCAGAAGGGGCAGAATCTCCAGCAGGTGAACAGTCCACAACCCACAAGCCAGATCACGCTCTTAGATAAAAGACAGGAGGGTGAGACGTCGGGCAGGGCAAGATATGACCAAATAATAATTTATAAATTATCAAGGGCTCATGAGGGAGGGGTGAGTGGGGAGGGAGGGGGAAGATGAGGACCTAATGCCGGGGGCTTAAGTGGAGAGGAAATGTTTTGAGAATGATGAGGGCAATGAATGTACAAATGTGCTGTACACAATTGATGTATGGATGGATTGTGCTAAGAGCTGTATGAGCCCCTAATAAAACGATTTAAAAAAAAAGAAGAGGAGGGTGATGCTCATGCCTTCAGTACAGACTACAAAACTTCTGTTAGGCTTTTCTTAGCCAAACTATTTCATTGTATGTAATGCAGCGATGTGTTGGTAAGCTGTAAATGTTGTATGTATTATGTGGTATGTCCACTGAAATTAATTTAGGTGGGAAAAAAAAGTTGTGAAGCACATTCTAGACTGAGCCTCTAGGAAAAGTTTCCCCAAATTGGCCTACCCCACGAAGATGGAGAACAGGAGGCTAGAACACCCATCACTGCCACCTGCGAGTCAGGAAGCCACACCACCACCAAGCTGACTGGATATTGGACTTCTGCTGAAGGTAAACCTAAGTTCTCTGTATTCTTGCAGAAGCAATAGCCAAGGCAGCCAAAGTCAGCCCTGGGATCTTCTGCTCCTTCCCCATCCTGTTTGTGTAGCTAACTGGAAAAACGTAAAGTGTATTCTGAATTGTGACTCCAGAAATTAAGAAATGGCCATTTTATTTTGCTAGCTTCCGCAGGAAGAAGCTCAGGCTACACTGAAAGCATTAGCCAAAAACAAGGCTCCAGGAATTGACGGAATACCCATTGACATATTTCAGAAAGCTGAAGGAGCACTGGAAGCACTCACTCGTCTAGCCAGGAAATTTGGAAGACAGCTATGTGGCCAACTGACTGGAAAAGATGTGTATGTGTGCTCATTCCACAGAAAGGTGACCCAACAGAATGCTCAGACTATAGAATGGTATCATGACTATCACATGCAAGTGGAATTTTGCTGAAGTTGTTTTACAAATCTACAGCTTCTTAGCCCGACATGTACTGATTCAAACGGCCACCATCCAATGTCCCAATTCTGCTCCAGCCACACAGGCCTTCCTTGAGCTGCCTGCTCCCTTTTCTCTTGGTTAGGGGGATTGCTTTGCTTTATAAAACAAACTAAGGATGGTCTACCTACAGGCCTTTTGCAATTTCTTTCTTTTTACTGTACTTGAGGGTAAGCTACTTGGGGACAGGAATTGTGTTTCTCATTGCTGCATTTCAGGTGTGAAATGGAGCTTTCCAGAGTGAATGATGAGGACTGCTGGGTGAAGAGATTAGGCTCACTTCCCCCATTTTCTAAGACGAGAGCCCACTTTCCCAATGCATTACTCGTCTTCTCTTCCAGGTAATGGTCATGGGCCTTCTTAGTTAACGCCTGAGAGATACAGCAGGAGTGTTGTAAAGAATTCACATAAGCTTAGTTTTTCAGTCCCCAGGTGAGAGTTCTGGGCTTCCTTTTTTAGACGAAACCCAGTTTCTTCTTGAACTTATAGGCTATTACTGCAGGAAGAAAACACACAGGTCTTTACCAAAAGCATTTTCAGTTCGTTGCCTCACTTAATCTTAATCCATAATTAATTATCTCATTTTGGTTAAGTGATAACAGGCTCGCAGTTGTCCCAACTCTCACAGTAGGTAAGAGGCAGGGCGTATATCACTTCAATCGGCTGAAGTGGAAAGGCTGCCAGGTTTGGGCAGGGTGGTCTTCCTCCTGAGGTCTAGGGGTTCAAGGAAGAGGAGCAACAACATTCAGAAGGGGGAGGTATTTTTACACCCTATAATCAGGCGTATGTTAGTGTTTTTATTCCTGTTTTTTTGTGTGTCTGGCAAATAAATACAGGGAGAAGTGGTGGCCAGCTTAAGAATTCAGGTTTGCCCTTGCAAAAGACTTGATTTAAATTCATTGCTCCCTTGATGAGGCTTTAAGAGAATGACAAGTCTTGAGTTGCTAGCCTGCGTCTCATGGAGCTCTCCGGTCTGTCTGCCTCTTTCCCCAGCAGTTTCCTTTGTCACACAGGGACTCCTCCTCTCTTTCTTCCTTCCAGGGACCCAAAGTTCACTAACAGCCTTTTCCTGTCCCAGGAACCGGCTGCAATGCCCCAGAGATAAGCCATCTTCCCAGTTGGTGGTTGTTCAGATTCTTCATCGCCCTCCTTGAAGTGACGCTCAGGCAGGAAGACAATGTGCATCTGCGAGAGCTGTCTGGTCCTTAGGGAGAGGATGTGTTCAGGTCTTCCTCTGGGCTCCATGGCTAAGGTGACAGAGAAGGCTGGCAAGGGGAGTTCCTTAGCATCATCTGAAAGGTGGGGCGGGTGGTGGTGGTGGTGGTGGTCAGGGGCACGAGAGGGTAGCAGACTCACAGTGACTGCCAGATTTGGAATGAGGCCTACCTTCCCAGCTAAGGACATTCTTCTCGAGACCCAAAACCCCTAGCACTGACTGGTCTCAATCCTGATGGACTGAGAACAGATCAAATTAAATGTATTCAAAGAATCTTATGACTGTTGCCGAGTTACCGTATATACTTGAGTATACGCCAACCCAAATATCAGCCGAGGCACCTAATTTTACCACAGAAACTGCATTAAAACTGTGCTGAAAAACTTGAGTTTATATGGTATAAAGTTCCATCAGATTTCTTAGTCCCTCTTACTTTGACCAGATGGGCAAATGGGAAGCATTTTCCAACTAGGAGAGGGCACCTGAGAGCAGAGTCAACACGAGGCCATTGCGGCAATTATGCAGAATTAGCAGTGTCTCCCTCTCACAAAAATACTTGTTCCCCAACACGTGACCCTGCTACATTCCCTTCTCAAGAGCCAGCCTGAGACCAGTCTCCCTCCCTTCCTCTGGGGCTCATGACTAATCGTGACTGTCACGCAGAAAAGGATGAATAAAACGTGAAGAGGAAAACTAACTACACAGCTGCCCCTAGAGGGCAAAGCAGGCTCATTTTACCCGGCAGCTGCCCTTTCTGGCTGACTCAGAGAACATTGCTCAGCCCGACTGCACAGGCCAAAGCCAAGCCCGCCTTTGTGCCCTCACGCTCGACCGGGAACCACTGGTCCACAGACGGCTGCACTGCAGGGTAGTGACAGACAGTCCTTCTCCCCTGGGACTAGAAGGGCTGATGTCCGAGAGGCTGACAAAGACAGAGCTCTGTTTCCAGCAGCCATGTGGCTCTTTGGGACTCACCAGGCCATGGAAAATAAGAGGAGATGCATTATGACAGAAATCTTTATTAAAACATGTCCTCAGGAATATGTTAGCATACATACAATATACACACATACATATGTACACTCTTTGACACACCTCACAGATCCCCACCATCAGGTTAACCAATAAATTAATACTAAAAAAAAAAAAAAAAAGAGGAGGGGAGGGTTAAGGGGTATGACCAGGGGCAAAACTTTCCATGTTTTATCTGGTAAGAAACTGCAAATTTCTCAGAATTTCCCTGCGGGGAAACCCGTAACCAGAGGCTCTTTGAAATAAAATACATAAATCCCCACCCACCCTCCCCCCACCCAAGGGGGAAAAAAAAAAGATTCCCAAAGATGCAGTAACAACCAGTGTGCTTCTCAGAACAGGAGCATTCATTCCCTTCATACTCTGGCTTCTGCACCTTCTGGCTTCGAGACAGGCTGCCCCTCGGCTGGAGCAGAGAGGTTCATACGGGCACTTGGGCTTGGTGCACCCTGGGCTCTGGGGGTGGAGGGGCAGGCTGCAGCATGGGAGTGGGGGGAGCCACCCTCATCTGAGGTGATGTCGGGGACATCATCTGACTGTGTGTCAGAGCTCTCCAGGTCACTGCGGATGCTCTCAGGCTGGGCCAGACTGATGTCCCAGGGTTTGCTGACCAGGCAGTCTTTCTGTTCACAGCTTTGGTGTTTGCAGGGGGGAGCCTCTTCACTGCCGCCGCCATCACCACTCCTTTCTTCTTCATTCTCTGCCATCTGGGCGTGAACGTGGAGCGAGTCCTCGGTGCTGCTGCCGCTCACCAGCTGGTAGTGACTGGGCTTGGCTTCAATGTCCACTTGGATTTCCATATTGTTGCACTCTCTGTGGAGACAAAGCCACTTTGCTGAGTCATGCATGGGGGAGATCGTCTGCTCTTCTTGCTGGTAAAGGAGTTTGTGGCTTCAGGAGTACATTAAGTTTAAAAAGATGGGTTAACAGTTTAAGCTAGAACTCACTTTTACCATGAAGAAACCTTTTAACCTAGCCAATTAGAAGCGAGAACAACCATTAGATCCTTTTTGCTGACTTAAACCCTTACCCTCCCTCTCCCCTCCCCTCCCTGACCCGCCTAACGATCTCTTTAGGAATTTATGTGTGATCTCCCCAAATTCCCACTCTGTTCACATTCAGGTCAAAGAGGAGTCAGTTTTCTTATGACTACGCTCCCACAACCACATCAGCCGGATACGCTAGTTTCCCTGAGAGAGACAACCCGCCTAATGGGAGCCACTTCCAGCAAAGGGCATCGGGAGAGCAGGAACTTGACCCACAGGCATCAAGGAACAGCCGACTAGCTCCAAGTTCCACACGAACAGTAACACAGGACTGCAATGGCCAAGAAGAAACAGAGACGGGAAGAAACATAGGGGGAAGGTGGGCGGGGCGGGGTGGGGCTCTCTAAAAATCAACTGCTAAGAAGAGCTGAGAGATGCCAACACTCCTGTATCAAAGCACGCTCAATGAATTCACTGGGAATCTAGTCCCACTGGATGACACCTAGGGTCCTAACACGAGGTGCTGAGCTTCTGAAGGCTTAGTACCCGACTGAAAAGCCGCAACCTCTCCTGGGCATCTGACTGTTCACATACCTGTCCTGTGGGTTGTAGGAACTGATTATGGAACCGGCCATAGCACGAGTGCTTGCGTTGTCACTAATTGCACCAAGACTGGCTGTGTCTTTGGGGAAAATTTCCTTTTGGACATCGGCTTGGACTTCTAACCTGTGTAAAGAGGGGACGGTCAAGTTAATAAAAGACCTGGGTTTCCCAAGGCAATTGGTTTCCTGGGCCAGCTCCTCCATCATTCTCCTATAGCCGATCCTCTCCACCTGTCAGAGCAGCTTCAACAGATGCCCACACCTTTCTTGCTCTTAGATACCTGTTGTAATCATCCCATCCTGTCTACTCCCACTGCTACTGCTCACTTCAGGCCCCGGCACTGCCTGCTTAGATAATTACAACTCGTTCCCTCTCCAGTATGCCCTTAGTCCAGGTCAAGCCACCTCTAGACCAGTGCCAGTGCAAAGACCCGACCACTCTCAAAATGTCTCCGGGCTTCCTAATGCCTACAGGCATTTAAATTCTTTCTCATCTACCTCTTAACTTTTGTCTCCAGCTCCATCTCGCACTGTTGTTACTGGTGTTCGGCACCACCAAGTCAGCTCCGACTCCGGAGAACCTCTGTCAGTGGAACAAACCACAGTCCGCTCCTGGGCCAGCCCCATGATGGCTGCTTTGTCTGAGCCCATTGTTGCAACCACCATGCCAAGCCATTTTGGCCAAGGTCCTCCTCATTTTCGCTGCTTCTCCAGTTTACCAAGCATGTCCCTTTCCAGGGACTGATCTCTCCTCCTAATAACACGTCTGAAAGTACATGAGACGACATCTAGCCATCTTTGTTTCAGTAAATGCCTGTCTATGTATTTTCCACCTCCCTGATATTACAAATGCCAGTCCTCTCTGGAAGAGTCCTGTCTCCACCCGAGAAACTTACTTAGTACATAACAACAAATGAAAATATCTCATTTCCTCACACTCACAGCAACCAGTCACTGCCTGTTAAGTGCTCCACAGCACTTAGCTACTCTTCTCTCCTCCTCCCCACAAAGAAGGGACCACAGCTCATTCACACTTGGCCCTCAAGGCCTCCCGCACACTGAGAAAGAAAAGACTGACTTATGGATCAGACTACGCTGAGCGTACGCCATTGATGCCATACAGCGTCAACTTAGGAGCAACCTGCTTTCCAACCGGAGTCTCAGCGCTGTGAACACGCACCGAGTTCCCCTCTTGGCTCCAACACCATTTTGTTGACTTGACTCATTCAATTCCTATAAAAGACAGGCTTCTACAGAACTGGACCAGCTGAGCGGCCGTTTCAGCAAGCCTGTCTCCCATTATGGCCGTATGCTTATTTCCAGGGGGTTGGCTTTAAGAAAGCAGAGCTGTGAATACTCTTGGCATGTGCAGGTGGGATCCCCTACACGAGACATCCAGAGTCCCGAGACACAGATGGGTCAGCCGCTCCTGCAGCTGCATAATCTACCCAGCTGCCTGGGCCTCTTGCACTGCTGCTCAGTCTCAGGCGCTTCCAGGAATGTGGCAAGGTGCAGAACAGGAAGGTAGACTCACAGTGCAGAGGGCATCAAAGCAGAAGGCTGAGTTGGGTCGTTTCAGCTCTGCCACAGAATCAGGGAGAGCTGGGAGGGACCGCTCTACTGAGGTGGTTCCCAGAACGTGGTTCCCGTAATGACTGATAGGACCATCTGGGAAGCTTTTACAAACCGCAGATTTCTGGCTCCGTGCCAAGAGATTCTAATGCTTTAATTCTGGGACTCACCCAAAAAACCCCACTGCCATTGAGTCGATTATGACTCAAAGCAACCTTACGTAGGGTTTTGTTATGAGAGCAGAAGGCCTTGGAGCTTCTCCTGCGGAGCAGCTGGTGGGCTGGAACTGCTGACTTTGCTACTAACAGCCCAACGCTTACCCAACATCGCCACCAGGGGTCCTCACATCCAGGACAGGGCCCTGAAACTTCTATTTATTTCCCATATTCTCTACAACCAAAATCTATTTCCATAGCTCCAGCTGCTGCTTTTTGGCAGGAGTCACAGAAAGAAAGCTGATCTTTTTCTTTTCCAGGGAAGGCCTGTCAACAACTCTTTTCCCTTCCCCAGTGCACGCAACTACCTGTTTCTCATGTAGTCTCTAGACATATGAGGGGTTTCAAAAAGTTCTTGGAAAGTTTCGTGATCTTTTCATTCTCTTTTCCCACAAATGTCTATTTGTATTCTGGTTTTCTAACTGGTGAAATAACCAATCACTTTTAGATCATAAAGTTTGACACATTCTCGACACCAGTTCATAGAACTGACTGATTTTCCTTGACTACGGAATGGGAACACAAAACCCCAACTCACTGTCATCCAGTCAGTGTTGCTTCCCAGGGGCCCTACATAGAGAAGCAGGCAGCCTCATCTTTCTCCCACGGGGTGGCTGGTAGGTTTGAACTGCTGACCTGAGATTAGCAGCACAATACCAAACCCACAAAGGAAGGTAGAAAAGCGCCAGTGAGACAATGAGGTTTAGCACAGACGCTGTGCTGTCGGCCTGAGGGCCAGGAACAAGCCAACGGGGAGCACAGCCTCGGGAACCAACAGCTCTTCCTCCTGGGGGGCAGCCCATGCAGTGGACGCACACATGCACACAGGGTGCAGCTGAAGGAATGCTGACCTTTTGTAAGCTACTTAGCCCTTTTGTTTCCTAGTTGTTCGAATTTAAAGTAAAATTCCATTGTTGACTAAATCAAAATGAGGCAATACAAGAGGCATGCCTGGCACAGAGATGGGTTCAGTAACAGCACGCAACTGGTGTGTTACAGAGCAGAACTGGCCCGTAGTTTTCTTGCCTGTAATCTTCAGAGAAGCAGATCACCAGGCCTTCCTTCCACAGCACCACCGGCTGGGTTCCAGTTGCCAGTCTTTAGGCCAGTCATTGAGTGGAAACCACCTGTGCTCCCTCTAACCATTCTGATTGGTTCTGTCACACGCTATCCTTTTGCTTACCTGCTGTATTTCCCCTTGCCACTGGAAAGAATGCCCCCACTCAGCGTGCCCCCCGAGAGGGCGGCGAAGCTGGCTGTTTCGCTGTAAGGGCCCTGCATAACACTGAGTCCATCAGTAGGGCTTCCACTGGTGCTCAGCACGCTAGTCAAGCCTTCGATGCTGCTCTCCCCAATGCTGGGGTTCTTCAGGGCTCGCCAGGCATCGGCCACTGGGGATGAAACAAACATTTCAATTCAAGCCAGGACAGCGTCCAAACAGTGTCTGCTAGAGATCCCCTGGTATGATTCTTTTCAGAGTGGAGGGTTTTCCTGTAGAAAAACACTTGTTTATTCCAATGCTTAAACAACAACTACGGTAGGTCAGTTCAACTGCTACTACCACCACGTCGGTAGTTTGCATGTTCATATTCAATCTCCCCAATAACCCGGCATTACCTGCCGCCTCAATTTCCAAGGAGAAAACTAAGGCTTAGAATGAAAAGACTTGCCCGAGGTCGGATCTAGTCACCAAAAAACCCTACAATTCTGACTCAAGCCCAGTAGGCTTCCTACTACACCGTAGTAGCCATAATCGAACAAGATTTCAAGTTACTTTTAGGTCAATTGCCGATCCTCACCACGTAGCTTAAAAAAGCCTCTGTGCCACAGATCGGTTAGTAGGGTCCAGTGGGAGCTGCATTTACTTATATGCCTAAGTCAGAAGCCTTGCTCGAGCCCCAGCTCTGCTGACGCTGCTGACCCCATTCAACAGATAAGACACAGTCTTCAAGTGGAGGTCCCCTGACAAGCAGATAATAGTAGTCCTTCAGAGGGCTGTTGTGAAAGCACATGAGAGTGGAACTGTGTGAAGTCCTCTGAAATGATAAGTACTGTGCAGGGTAAGACAGCTGGAGTCACACGACCAGCAGCTTTCTGGGAGTCACTTGGAATGCTAACAGTCTGAACCTGCCCCACAGAAGCAAGTACCAAAGGAATTAACCTAGTAACTGTGCAACAAAGAAATGAAAATCTAAAAATACTTCGCCCCTCCACAAAAGTAACCCAGTGACAATCTCGGTAAAATGTGATTTAGCTTATTGAGTTTTATCTTGTGACCCATAAAGTCAAATGGAGGGTGGGGGGAATCCAGCTTTTTACCTGTAATTGGACCGTCATCTTCATCAAACTCAATTTTTACCCCCTTCCCATTGGCTGTGCTAACTCCACAGCCTCCTCCACGACAAAGAGAAATGGGCACAACCCCGTAGACATAAGCCAGCATAATGGGGACACCAATACCTGGGGGAGAGAAGGAAGCATGTCAGCAGGCCCTCAGGTGCAGCTGCCCTGAATTCCCCTTTCCAGCTGGGGCATGGACCAACCACTTCAGAAAGGCCCAAGGAATGACAGGGCAATCCCAGAGAGGGAGGTGGGGTGGACAGAACGATGGCTGGATGTGAAATCGCAAGTCCTGGCGGGGAATCTTAGCTCCAATTTCTTAGCTGTGTGGTCTTGGGTAGATCCTCCTGGGGTTGTCAGGATTCACTGAGAATGCCCAGCACGGTAATGGTAAACACTTGGCTTGCATGTTTTCCCTGATGGACTACCCCAAAAGAAATCAATCAAGAATCAACCAGTAGGACTACTGTTTTTCTAGCATCCCCAAACCCCAGGTTAGCTCCATAGTCTCCCTGCTGAGGCTCTGAAGTCAGAATGCCTGGTTTTTCTTGCCCTTGCTGAGTGATCTTTTTTTTTTTTTTAATCAGGGGAGAGGGCGAACGCAGTCCCCCACTACCACAAATTATGCAGTCGAGTTTCCCACATTTGGGGAAATCGCAGGGGTCAGCACATCTGGAGTGCAATGGATAAGCCTCGCCCTGGGAAAACCACCTTCGTGATCATGGTATCTTCCCTGCCAGGTAAGTATTGCTGAGTGATCTTTAGCAGGTTACTGCATCTTTATATTTCAATTGTGCTGTCCGGAGCCTTAAGTGAATTAATATATGCAAAACACTCAGAGTCCCACCAGACACGTGGAGAACCTCAATAACTGTTAGTTATTGCAACAGTTATTGCATTGTTGCCATTCTAAAGCAAACCCCTATGCTTCTCAAAAAACTAACTTTTTTTAAAAAAGGAATTTTGTTTTGTGGGTTCTGTGACATCCACAGTAGAGGGAGAAGATGCCAAGTGAAAAACCTGGATTTAAAGGAACTTTCTCTATTTGCCAGACTAATTTTTAGGCATTAACGTTCAGAATAAAAAAGCTTCCAAATCCGGATCATTTAGTAGGCCTAAAAAATGGATGGGAAAAATTAACTACCAAAGTGGGTTTGGTGTAAAATTTCAAACTCTTATGGGTGGGAGATCTGGCCTGCTGGTCAGTTTGAGAGCTGATAGGAAACAATGAGCTAGGAAGAGGCAGAGGAATGGGAAGGAGGAAGGAGGGTCGGAGGGAGAAGCCTGACTGGCTTACCAACACTAACTGCAGCAATGACCGGGGATGCAATGACTGACAGAGTCACTCCTCCCGTAATAGCCAAATTCCTCTTGTGCTTGGAGGTCTTCCTTCCCTCATACCTGCTATGAATCTAAGAGTAGAAAAAGAAAACGCGAGTCAGTAGGTTAAGTCATCTATTTTTTTTTCCAGCAAGAGAATACTCACTTATAACTGATCTATATTACACCATATTCTCCATCCTAAAAGAGACATTGTTAGCAAATTTGAATCCAATATAGACCTGGAATATATACACTAAGGCAGAGAAAGTTACTCCACAAAGAGATAAAACAACTCAAGGGCACTGTGAGTAAGTAGTTCACCTTTAAGTCACTGAGCAAAACCAGGCCTAAGCTGTCAAGAGACCTGAAAGTTCTTGGGAAAGAAAATCCATTTAAGAAACTATGGTTATTTTTATCCTGGAACTGGCTAGTTTTCAGACAGTTCTTAAGTATAAGCTCCTCCTTATTCCCTCAAACCCTTAGCATCAAACTTGAAGCCTACAAGTAATGCAGAGCCCAGCATGTCTTACCTTCCTGCCAACGTACACAGGAATGCCAATGACCATGGCAGGAATGGCAATGCCAGCAATGAGGGAAATCCCCACCGGAGCTCCAATCAATGTGCCCAGCTGCCAAAGAATTTTCTTCTTCCGGCTCCACGGCTTCTTGCCCCAGAATGTACAGCCAGAGGGGCTGTAGAGGAAACACATACTGAAGTTAGGGTTGATGTTTCAAGTGCAGCTACTGTGCAAGTCTGAGAAGAGTAGAAGGAAGAACAGTTAACAGGTCACAGGAGACAAACTTAATACACATGTGGAAACAAAGGATGACATCAGACAGCCAGGACTCTGGGATTTTTTTTTTAAATATATAAAAGCATGCTTTCAGTCATCCCTAAACCACCAACAGTGGTCAAACTTTCTGGATTGATAGGACGACAAGGGATCTTGGTACAGCCTGCAAACTGAGCCACCTCATCCAAATACAATGTGTCCTAAAGCTACTGAACAGTCTGATGTGCACCGCTTTCTTGGAATGTGCCTGTACATGTGATAGTCTCTACTGCAAACTGTGTTCCCAAACACAGAGTTAAAATGACTTCTATGACACTGTCAGTCAGACTGTGCCCAACCATCTCACCTCTGGGTCCGCAATAACTGGAAATGAAGGTGTTTCATCCCCATGATGAAACATTAGCCTGGACGACATTTAATACTGATTTTCGTTGGAAGCTCAACACATGCAAGGACCATAAAAGAAATAACCGTATAGTTAAGAAGATATAGATCTATGTAAGCTAACCACATATAAAAAAGTATATAGTTTCAGTACTAAAGATTGGACATATATATGAAGTAAAGAGTAGAGATGATGTTTACAAAAAGAAAAATAAAGGAAGTCAAGCGGAAGAATGAGACAGACAAGTTAGGGAAGTGATCATGGATGAAATAGTGTTTAAGTAGTCCTTGAAGCATGGGTCAGAATGGTGCAAGCTGAGATAAAAGGGGGATACTGAAAAGAAAGGGTGAGGGAATTAGCATTTCATGCAAAAGAAGAACAGGAGTAAGTGTGGAGGTGAGACAGTGCAGAAGGATACAGGGAAGAGAAAACCCAGATTAGTTGGAATGTAAACAACAAGGAAAAGAAAAAAAGACCCCCACAGCAGAATTGGTCTTAGCCAGGACTCCTCATCTGGATACAGAACACCCACTCAAACCCAAACCCATGGCCTCTGAGTCGATTTTGACTCAGAGTGAGCCTGCCTCGAGTTCTGAGACCGCACACCTTCTCTGGAGCAGACGGTCTCACCTTTCTCCTTCAGAGCACTTGCTGGGTTTGAACCACTGCAGTCTAAAGCCCAACCCACAGTGCCACCAGGGCTCCTTACAGAGCATACCCAAAAACAAAAATGGAAAAAGCTAGAAATGTGGAGGCAGGCTAGAGACTGGAAAGCCTTAAAAACGACCTGGAAGGTAAAAGAGCTAGTCTCTGGCCGTCACTGAGCTAAGAGAAAATAGGGTGAGGGATGTTTCTGAGGATAAGGAGATTTCCGTTTCTGTCACGAGAGGACAACTCTCTCTCTTTGATACCCTTTCTGCTAAATCTGTAAGAACATAAGACTACAAAAGCAATGGACACATTTCCCGTCTCACCTGAGGTAATGCAAATCTGAGATCTCTTTCATACAAAGCCAACAGAATTCACAGCCACATACTGCACAGGTCATATGATTACAGCTTCCATCATTCATCTTGATAATGTACGCACTGCATCGTGGGCAGGACTTGATGTCATCTGCTAAGGGGGGAGGAAGACCAGAGGAAAAATGAACAAAAGCCAGGCTAAGCGGGTTCCAGTTCACAGCTATGCTACAGTAATGATTGGAATGACTACTCTTTCCCCTGTGGAGCGGCGGCTATGGGTGCAGGGGCATCCTTGCAGTTAGCAGTTGAGCACTTAACTACTGTGATATCAAAGCTCCTTAAGTCGAAAAATATCACTAGTTAAACCTAAGAATGGCTTTATTATTCCTAGGAGTATAGGTAAGAAGAAAATGAGAAGACTCTCAAGAATTCTTGACTGAGAATTCCAAATTGTGTAACTCACTTTACTGAGCGCTGATTATGTCTAGACCTCAGGAAACTTCATTAAAGGGGTTTTGTCTCATATTGAGCGGCCTATTGCACAGCACTTGAACCACACTTGAGCAAGGAGACTTCCCCAGAGAGAAGGATGGTTCCAAGAAAAATGGAAATTCCGCCCACCCATTGGCAGGCAGAATTAAGAGCAGAAGCCTGCCAGGAAGAATAGGCTGCATGCTGGGCATGGCTTTATTTGAAGTTTTGAGAGAAATTTTAAGGGAGGAAACTCAGTTTTTAAGCTCACAAAGTGTCTTTGTGGTTTGCTATTTACACAACCCACAGTCCCTTTCTGTGATCCTTTCACATCTGAAACCTAAAAACAAGTAGTGATGCTGTGTGGCATGCACCTGGTAATTTTCACAGCAAGTGGGGAACTATCCTATTACAAAGAAATTTAGGAGATTATTCTGTGCCAGGAAAAACTGAATGGTAAATCGTTCCTACTAGCCTCTCCCAAATGACATCAGTGAATTAAAATACATTTAGAAAAGGCAATAAACCCACTGGCTTTTAAAATAGGTATGCTCTGACCTGTTACGATTGGAAGTAAACATGTGTGATATTCCTTCTTTTAAGGTTAATCATTAGCCCATACTAAGATTATGCTCTGCACTTAAGCTGTACCCTGCTCTCGAAAGCAGTGATATACTCAAAGCGTGTGTGAAAACAGTGGAGGCTTCACACTGGTTAAATGTCTTTCTGCTTACAATACAAGTTTTAAAAGTCTCCATCAAAAGGACCTAAGGGTTCTGCAGTATGAAACATACAAATGACTACAAAGGTTGAAACGAAACGAGAAAATTCAATCACTTATATTCTGATTTTACCTGGGTCGGATAATCTATAATGGTCAAAGAGGAAAGCTACATATTAAATATAAAAGGAAAAGCACTGCTGAATGGTACTTTCTTTCTGCCCTCTGATGTCAGGCGATGATGTCATATAGGAAAGTAATCTCTTTCTTCCAGTTTTGGGTCCACATTAGGAAATGATGAATGAAGAGACAATCAACTGATACCTGGTCCAGATTCTTGTCCATAACTGAGGCCAGAAGTATGCTTGGTCCTGACTCGCAAAGTCTGCGCCCTCTGCTGCCGGGCCATATCGCATGTCTGATTTGGATGCCATATCTGCTTGCAGTGGTAGCAGAACTCAGTCTGGCAGCCTTCTCTCTCACAGGTCAGCTTTGGGCAGCTGGCACAGCCGTAGGCAATAACAGCATACCTAGGTAAGGAAACAGGAAGAGGTAGCAGTCAGGTGAAGAACAGTCTGGCCAACACAGATATTATTCATTAGTTCCAGCGGGCTAACGCTGTTTGGTGCCCCACCCCCTACCACAATGTGCCGCAAAGAAAATACACACACAACTCTAAAGACTATAAAGCACGCCTGTACAAAAAGCAGATTTCTTAAGATTCCAGATACAAATCCTTTTCTTCCCTCTTGGGGGAAAAAAAAAAACCCCAACTGAGGAAAACCTATTCAAGCCTAATTTCTAGCATTTATTCTGTCAAAGCTTAAACTGCATTAGCAGCAGCTTGCCACAGCTAGTTACAGAAATAACTGGGTACAAAACTATTTCCTTTGATGGCTTGCTATATTTAGATTCGAATTTGTTTACATGAGGAGATGGAATATTTGTCAAAAGACCATAGCTAAAAACGCTAACAAGTGCACTTTTTTCTTTTTCCAGTTCTACAGTGAAGTTAGTCTAACCACAAGCTAGCAGACAACAGCCGCAGCTGGATTCACGAGCAACTCCTCCCAGCTTCTCTCATCTGAGCTTCCTATACTTTGTCTTCCACTTTTCAAATCGATACCTTGAAATGTCTTCTTTCTTGGCAGTCTACAGAGCCCGAGAAGACCACTACCCATCTATATTCATAATAAATATAAGGCCGTACCCCTCTTTCTCTTCTGACACATATTAAGTTTGAGGAACAGCAATTCAGAATCCATCAACAGTTTCTAGTAATTCATGTTTGTTTACCAAGAATTAGTCTCCCACAAACAATCCAATACATTTACAAGTATTTGCCTTTCTGACTAATTTAAATGTCAATTGAATGCTCAAATAACCCTAAGTGGACAGTTGCTTCAAAATTTAAGACGAAAGTGACTTAAGAAAACGAATGGAAGGAAGATGGCAGCTGTGAAAGTTCAGTGCACAATTTGTTAACAGGTCCCTGATTATAGGCTTACGTGTTGCCCCCTGGACTTGGGTGCTGCCCTTTTTCATGTTATCCCTACATCAGCCAAGGACCTCGCACGATTCATGCATAAAGTAACATTTTCTTGGATTATTGCTTACGTTATTTATTTGAATGTAGATTGGCTGTTCATGTCAGCAATTCAGATTCTACAAATTGAACTGAGGATGACTTACTGAGATGATAACGTATCCCCAATGTTATAGAGTACATATGTATTAAAACTCTAAGGAAAAAATTCTCAGAAAGAACAAAATGAGAATAGGTCAAAGTGTGAATGCAAATGATTCATATCCTGTAGGAGTTCTGAGCAAGCATACCCCACAGTTAGGTGCAAAACAACTACTAAAGATAAACAATGTTTTTCCTGGCGGAAGTGCCAATGCTGGCTATTTTGTGTTAAACAGGAAAGGTACTTGGTGACCTCAGGAGAGTATTAAACCAACTCCTGAAGGTACAAAGTAGGCAGATACACAGTAGATTAGGAGGGCTTGATCCCTTTATGATCTACTCCTACCTCACCAGGAGGAAGCAAATATTAACAGAGACCAATGTTTATAAAAGAGGACGTGGTAGAGCTGACAATGTCCATTTTGAGTATGGAACTTAATTCCAAGGAAGTAAAAGCATCCCCACTTACTCACGAATCAACAGCAGTCTATTGCCATGACACAGAATTACTCAGGGCACGAGACTTGGCATTCCGGTTTCTGGGGACCTAGTCTGGGCTCCTTGCCTCTGACTCATACTGCATGACACTGAGCAAGCTAAAAATCTCTAAAACCTTGGTTTCTATCCCAAAATGGAGGTAGAGGTGCTTGCCGCTTTCCAGTGTAGCTATGCTATAAACTTGCATTTGAGAGCTTGCCCTGAAAAGTATGGTTTAAATTTTCTCTCTCTCTGTCTGTCTGTCCTACTTCCTTGCCCTTGTAGCAGATGCTATTCCTTCTGCCCAGAAATGTTCTCGCCGTCCTTCTTGCCCTGGCAAGTAGTTAAGAACCTGCTTAAATATCATCTTCTCTACAAAATGTACTCAATCTCTCCTGGCAGCTAGTTGTCTACCTGGGGCCTATGCACAATTGTTTTATAATATCAGAGTGTATCTTAAATTTCTGCTTACAAGCTTTTTTCCCCTGCTAGACTTAACTCAAGGCCAGCAGTTCAAAAACACCTTGGGAGAAAGACCAGGCTTTCTACTCCCATAAAGAATTCAGGTCTTGGAAACCCATAGGGGCAGTCGGAATGCACATGATGGCAGTGAGTGATAACTTAGTTTAGGGTTGAAGTATAAAGCGCTCTAGTGGTAAACCTCTAAGTTCCGAATAAAAATCAAACTCACTGTCATCGAGTCGATGTCGACTCACAGCAACCTGACAGAGCTGCCCCTGTGAGTTTCTGAGTCTGTGGCTCTTTACTGGAGTAGAAAGCCCCACCTTTCTTATGAGGAGAACTGCTGATCTTGTTGAAAACCTCATCCTTGAAACCCATCTATCCCAATCATCTTTTCCGTACCTGCAATGGGACAACTCTCCTACCCTGTGCCCTAAGCTTAACCAACCACTCAAATTTGTTTATTAGAAAGCGAAGAGAGTTGGAAATGATTATACAGTTAAGAATACAGTCACATCCTCCTCGCTCTTAAATTTAGACAATTCTTATGCTTTTTATCAATTTCCTAAATCTTCTAAAACATCATAATGTGATAGGACATACCACAACACTACCTTAATTTGAACTCTAGAAAAAAATTCCCATTAGTATGAATCTGATTATGCTCCAACAGACCCCGGTTGTTAAGGAAACATGTCCTTATGTTACAGCTGTGTTTCCCAGCCCCAGGCCCTTTAACTAGGTTACCCAATTATAAATGGACCCTGAGTGTGTGTCTGAAAAAGGGATGATAGATGTGATTCATCCTTTTAAAGAATCCCTGGGCACAAGCAATTGCATTGGCTTTAGACCCCCGGAGTCAGGCTGAGCCAAGTTATCACAATGAGCTGCACTCTTACCATCTGGTAAGATGGTAAGACCCAGGAGTCTAGACTAGACAACTATCAGTGCCTCCTATCTGCTCTCCTTATCTCCCACTCCAATGCAAACTCCACTGGTAAAATGTAATCAAGCAAAACATATGATAAAGGTTGCTTAAAACCCTTCTAGAAAAAAGCTGTTTCAATACCAGTAGCATTACAAATCTAAGCTTCTTTGCATGGTATGGATGGGCCTACCAACTTGAACCCAGGAGGCTTTCTCAGTTGGATATCTTGTTGCACCTTGATCATACCACATCCATCTCCAGACTGACCAAACAAGAGAATCAAAACACCCAATGAATACAGAAGCTATCTGCTCTTAGCATGAAAATCAGGCAGCCCAACCACTGGCCGTATCACCAAAGAGTTCAGACATCAGTTTGGGAAATGGCAGGATTTTAAAGTGACTCCCTACTTATCTAACACCTTCAACTGAAGATTTCAAAACATTTCACAAATACCGTATTAATTAAGCCTCTTAACTTGGGAAATAATTATGCCTATTTCAGATACGAAAAACAAAGTAGACAAGAGGCAGTTCACACGAATCAGAAAAGAAACTAGATTCTTTTTTTTTGTTTGTTTAGCTTTCATTTCATAATCATAAACTTAACTCTGCTTTCCAGCTGGACTCAGGGGGCATAAGGAAAGCAGGAAACCCGAAGAACAGGAGTGCGAGCACACGATTAAACGATACTGCAAGCACATTGGAACAGACGGGTGATTTCCAAGCTACCCAAGATAAAACATGGAAATCCAGATCAAATGTAATTAGAGTTGTCCACAGTCAGCAAGGGTGATCTTCTTGCTGGTCTTGCCATTCCTGGAACCAAACGCTCCATGGCTTCCACAATGTCCATGCCTTCTTTCACCTGACCGAAGACCACGTGCTGGCCATCCAACCATCTGTCTGAGTGGGGCACCTAAACACTGGGGACCATTTGTACTGGGCCCAGCACGTGTCCTGGACAGGATGCCCAGCCCTGTGTGCTTCAGGATGAAGTTCTCATCCTCACATTTCTCTCCATGGATGGACTTGCCACCAGTGCCATGATGGTGTGTGAAGTCACCCCCCGGGCACATAAACCCCGGAATGATTCGGTGAGAGCAGGAAGCTTTATAACCAACACCTTCCTCCCCAGTGCTCAGAGCGCGGAGCTTTCTGCTGTCTTTGGAACTTTGTCTGCAAACAGCTCGAAAGCGATGCGGCCGAGGGGCTCGCCGTCGACGGCTATGTCGAAAAACACAATAGGGTTGACCATGGCTGGACACAACAGGACCAGACAAGACTACAAAGTCAGGCGGCGCCGTCTGCAAAGCAGGTGAAACTAGATTCTATCATCTTGAGCTCTCAATATTGTCCCTTGGCCACTACTTGACTAAATGTACCCCAAACAGTAGCACCCCCAATAATAGGTGTTATGCTGACAAACCCAAACGTTTAAACAGCAGGAAAAACAGTGGCTTGGGATGAATTAACACCAAGACTCTAAGTCTTTCTCCACCATTTGCCCCTCAGAATAGTCACTCTGTCTCTAAACTCCAGTTTTCTCATCTTTTAAAACTAGATCAAATCTCTCTCAATGTTGATAAGGGTCAAAATAAATTATGTATGCCTGGTTCACTGCAAGTCAGATGCTAGCTTCTCTTCTTTCTCTAATACCTTCTTTAAGTAATTAAAAGAAAAATAAGCTTGAGATGAAACTCACCCAATACTCGACTAAAATAAGAAATGGCCTAATTTTCAAAAGTAACTTCTAAATGAGTAGTGGTTTACAGTTGTCACCAAGTCTGAAAATGAATTTCTGTCCATTTTTACTGATGTGAACAAAGACAGAAATTAACTTCACAGAAATTTTTAAAAGAAGGGTGGTGGTGACCTAAGACGAACCAAACACCTCACAGGTGTGACACCTCACAGGTTTAGTTTCCTGGGTTTGAAGGCTTAAAACCATAATCTCATGGGATAACTCAGCCAATTGGTATAATAGCTATATGTTCTACATCCTCGTTTGGTGATATCTTAAAAGCTAAAGAGCAATCATCTAAGCTACAACTACTGCTCTGTATGCACATGGGGCAAAAGAGAAAGGAAATCACTCAAAAATGGAAAACGAAACTAGTTTATAGGACGAAAAGCCTACCTAAACTGTGAGCCATTGTCTATCTCATCTAACTTGAGGCCAAAGAAACTGGATGATACCTGACTACCATGATTTAACACTGATCAGGGACACAAGAGATAGACCCTGTTAGGATGAGAGAAAAATGCAGAACAAAACCCAAATTCTCAAAAAGGTGCCGCTTTACTGAACTGATTCAGATGAGAAGAATCCCCAAGATTACTATCCTCCAAACTAAAAAAAAATTCACTGTCATTGAGTCAATTGCAACTCCTGACTGTCCTCAGATAACCTTTAAATTCTGAAATGAGTAGACGTCGGACAGGGCAAGATATGACAAATACTAATTTATAAATTATCAAGGGCTCATGAGGGAGAGGGGTGCAGGGAGGGAGGGGGAAAATGAGGACCTAATGCCGGGGGCCTAAGTGGAGAGGAAAAGTTTTGAGAATGATGAGGGCAATGAATGCACAAATGTGCTTTACACAATTGATGTATGTGTGGATTGCGATAAGAGTTGTATGAGCCCCTAACAAAACGATTTAAAAAAAAAAGCAGGAAAAAAAATTCTGAAATGAAGCCAGCTAAATAACAGATTTGCTCATAAAATAAACAGCACAACTTGTGACTACTGTGCTCCTACATGAGACCAAACACAAATCCCAAACCGATTGCCACTGAGTAAATTCTGGTTCATAGCAACCCTAGTGGGCAGAGCAGTAGAACGGCCCCTCGGGTCTCTGTGATGGGAAATCTTTAGGGCCGCAGGCTGCCTCATCTTCTACTATGCTTCCAGTTGGTGGGTTCTAAATGGCATGCCTTGGGTTGGCAGTCAAGCATGTAACCCACTACACTAAGTGGTCAATATTTCCTCTAAAGCAGCGATTCTTAACCTGTGGGTCACAACCCTTTTGGGGGTTGAATGACCCTTTCACGGGGGTCGCCCAATTCCTAACAGCAGAAAAAATTAGTTATGAAGTAGCAATGAGAATAATTTTATGGTTGGGGGGGTCACCACAACATGAGGAACTGTATTAAAGGGCCGAGGCATTAGGAAGGTTGAGAAGTACTGCTGTAAAGCAGAGATGAGAAGGTAAGGGTCGGGAGGGAGGGAGGGGTGGGAAAACTAGATGAATGAACCAGAACCAGAACAGAAATAATGAAAATGTCCGTACACACCACTGCGAAAAAATGTAAACCGTGTCACTAGTCACTTGGCACAGAAATTATTAAAGGAAAGCCTAATTTGCTGTGGAAACTTTCACCAAAATACACAATAATGCTTACAGGCTGTGGTCCCTGGCATGGGCTCTCGCTTTACTCTCTAGGGAGACCTGGGTGAGGCACCAAGGAGGGGATGTGGTTGCCTCTGGCTTTAGGCCTATCAAGATTTGTACCCCGGTTCTGCTCTTAAAAGTTGTGCATCTTGGGCAAGCAATTTCGTCTCTGTATGCCTCAATTTCCTCCATTTGTCAAGTGCAGATAACCAAACCAAGTTCCCGAAGAGGCCGTGAGGACTTGAGAACACAGCATACCAGAGAGAAAACATACAAAGATCTGGAATAGGGCCTGGTATGTTACTAAAAGCTCAATAAATA